GTGTGTACAATGACGGAAAGAGCCGCCAGTTCGGACACTCCTTGAACTGATGTAATGGCCACCAGGAAGGCCGTCTTGATGGTCAGATGGTAAAGAGTCGCCATTCGAATGGGCTTGAGTGGAGGACCAGTTAAGGCTCGCAGGACGAACGGCAGGTTCCAGGATGGGTATCGATGAACTGCTGGAGGGCTGATATTCACCGCGCCCTTCAGGAAGCTCTTAACCTGTGGATGCTGACTCAGCAACCGAGAGGAGCCCCTGGCAAGAATGGTGGACAAGGCCACCACTTGGCGATGGAGTGTACTAGGTGCCAGCCCTTTGTCCAGACCCTCATGCAGAAAGTCCAAAGGTTGCGGGACTGTAGCAGAAACGTCTGCAATGCCCTTAGTCTTACACCAGGTGGAAAAGGCGACCCAGGTCACATCGTATATTTTAGTGGAAGGCCGCCTGGATAGTGCGTATGACCTTGTCAGAGATGTTCTGCTTCCTCAGGAGCTCTCCCTCAAGTGCCAGACGGCTAACTGTAGCCACTGGGGATCTGGGTGGTTGATGGCCCCTTGGCCATCAAATATGGTCCTGAGGGATCCACCAAGGTTTCTGAATGGAGAGACTGACAAGGTCTGTGTACCAGGACCTCCTGGGCCAGAATGGTGCCACAAGGAGGATCTCTGCTCCTTCCGACAGTAGTTTGGCCACCACCTTTGAAATGGCAGGTAGAGGGGGGAATGCATACAACAGCCCTTGGGGCCACTTGCACCTCAGTGCATTCGTCCCCTCTGCCCACGGAGAATGATAACGGCCGAAGAATCGTGGCAGTTTTGTATTTGTGTGTGTGGCAAAAAGGTCTACTTGCGGTTTGCCAAACCTCCTCACGATCTGCTGAAAGAGCCCAGGTGTAGATGCCACTCCGAGTGGTCGATCTGTTGCCGATTCAGCCAGTCCGCTTCCTGATTGCTGGTTCCGGAGATGTGGTCTGCTCTTGAGAGGCTAGATGACGCTCTGCCCACCTGCCCAGGGCCTCTGCCTCTGTCATGAGGCTCCTGGAGTGGGTGCTGCCTTGTCTGATTATGTATGTTTTTGTTGCCACATTGTCCATCATCAATAGTACATGCCGGCTCACAATTAGAGATGAAAATCATCGCAGAGCGAGGCATGCCGCCCTCAGCTCCAGCCAGTTTATGCTGTGGGCAGCTTCCTTCTGAGACCACTGGCCTTGGGCGAGCTGGCCCTGACAGTGAGCCCCCCATCCCTGAAGACTGGTGTTTGTAGTCACCACGACCCTTTCGGGTTCCTTGAACAGGCATCCCTTTTCGACTGCTGCGATCCTCCACCAGGCTAGAGATTGAATTACCTTTTGTGGAAGTCGTACTCGTCTGGAGGAGTTGCTGTTCTTTGCTCTTTTCATCGATAGAAGGAACCACTGCAGTTCCCTGGCATGGAGACGTGCCCAGGGAACTACCTTCAGACAGGAAATCATGATTCCAAGGAGCTGGGACAGTTTTGATGATCGGCACCGACCTTGACAGAAAGCACTGACGCACTCTGCCCTTGAGAGTTGCCAGTCGATCTGGAGAAAGGAACATCTGACAGGAGGCTGAGTCGACGATGGCGCCCAGGTGTTGAATGCATGTGGTCGGCTGGAGATGGCTCTTCTCCAGATTGACCGAGAAGCCGTATTGTTGTAGTGTCCGGATGGTCATCTGGACATCTCGCCTTGCCTGGTCTGGAGTTGTAGAGTGGATAATTATGTCGTCTAGATAGCATTCTAGGCGAATGGGACGGTTCCGGAGGTGGGCTGCCACCACTGCCAGGATCTTCGTGAAGGTCCTGGGTGTGGACGAGAGGCCAAACGGAAGAGGCGGCAGCATGAATAGGGACATGCAGGTAGGCCTCTTTTAGATCTATGGTGTCAATAGATCTCCCTGCCTCACACAATCCAGGATGGAGTAGAGGGATTGCATCTTGAACCTTTTGTAAGTCAGATGCTGATTCAGGCTTTTCAGATCCAAGATGGCCCTCCACCCCACCCCACCCCACCCCA